GGAAACCCCTACCGCCCCTAGCGGACACGCCTACCACTGACAAGACATGATAAACCCCTACCGCCATAGCAGACACACTTAGACTGAGAAGCCATCGGAAACATCTACCGTCCCAAGCAGACAAGCCTTACACTGAGAAGCATTGGGAAACCCCTAGAGGATATATCGGACACGCCCACCATTGAGAAGCCATCGGAAACCCCTACCATCCCTATCGACATGCCTACAACTGAGAAGCCATCGGAAATCCTGAAATGCATGCCACTGAGAAACCATCGTAAACCCCTACCGCCCCTAGCGAACACGCCTACCACTTAGAAGTATTGGAAACCCCTACCGTCCCTATCGGTCACGCCTACAACTGAAGAGCCATCGGAAATACTGAAATGCAGACCAGTGAGAAGCCATCTGAAACCCCTACCGTCCCTAATGGACATGCCTACCACTGAGAAGCCATCGCAAACCCCTACCGCCCCTAGCTGACAAGCCTACCACTGATAAGATATGAGAAACCCCAACCGCCATAGTGGGCACACGTAGACTGAGAAGCCATCGGAAACATCTACCGTCCCTAGCCGATAAGCCCACCACTGAGAAGCCATCGGAAAACCCTACCGTCCCTTGCGGACCCGCCCACCACTGAGTAGTCATGAGAAACCCTTACCGTGCCTAGCGGACACGCCTACCACTGAGTAGCCATGACAAACCCTTACTGCCATAGCTGACACACGAAGACTGAGAAGCCATCGGAAACCCCTACCATCCCTAATAGACACACATACAGCTGAGAAGCCATCAGAAACCCCTACCGTCCCTAGCGTTCACGCCCACTACTGAGTAGCCATGAGAAACCCTTACTGCCGTAGCGGAAACACCTCCCACTTAGAAGCCATCGTAAACCCGTACCGTCCGAGGCGCATCCGCCTTCCATTGAGACGACATCTGAAACTCCTACCGTCCCTAGCGGACACGCCCACCACTAAGAACCCATGACACCCATACCGCTGTAGCGGACAGGCCTACCACTCAGAAGCCATCGGAAACCCCTACCGTCCCTATCGGACACGCCTACAACTGAAGAGCCATCCGAAATCCTGAAATGCATACCACTGAGAAGCTATCGAAAACCCCTACCGCCCCTAGCGGACACGCCTACCACTGACAAGACATGAGAAACCCCTAACGCCAGAGCAGACACACGTAGACTGAGAAGCCATCGGATATCCTCAAATGCATACCAATGAGAAGCCATCGAAAACCCCTACCGTCCCTAGCGGACACGCCTACCACTGAGAAGCCATCGGAAGCACCTACCGTCGTAGCGGACAGGCCTACCACTGAGTAGCCATGAGAAACCCAAACCTCCGTAGGAGACATTCCTTTCACTGAGAAGCCATCGGAAGCACCTACCGTCCCTAGCGGACTCGCCAACCACTGAGTAGCCATGACAAACCCTTACTGGCATGGCGGACACACGAAGACTGAGAAGCCATCGGAAACCCCTACAGTCCCTAGCGGACACGCCTACCAATGAGAAGCCATCGAAAACCCCTACAGTCCCTACCGGACACGCCTACCACTGAGAAGCCATGGGAAACCCCTATCGATAGAAGCGGACACACCTTCCACTGAGTAGCCATGACAAACCCTTACTGCCATAGTGGACACACGAAGACTGAGAAGCCATGGGAAACCCCTACAGTCCCTAGCGGACACGCCTACCAATGAGAAGCCATCGAAAACCCCTACCGTCCCTACCGGACACGCCTACCACTGAGAAGCCATGGGAAAACCCTACCGATAGAAGCGGACACACCTTCCACTGAGTAGCCATGACAAACCCTTACTGCCATAGCGGACACACGAAGACTGAGAAGCCATCGCAAACCCCTACCGCCCCTAGCGGACACGCCCACCACTGACAAGACATGAGAAACCCCTAACGCCATAGCAGACACACGTAGACTGAGAAGCCATCGGAAACATCTACCGTCCCAAGCAGACAAGACTTCCACTGAGAAGCATTGGGAAACACCTACAGGCTATATCGGACACGCCTACTACTGAGAAGCCGTCGCAAACCCCTACCGTCCCTCGCGGACATGCGCACCACTGTGTAGCCATGAGAAACCCTTACCGTGCCTAGCAGACACGCCTACCACTGCGTAGCCATGACAAACCCTTACCTCCGTAGCGGACATAAACACCACTGAGTAGCCATGAGAAACCCTTACCGTTGTAGCGGTCACGCCTACCACTGAGAAGGCATTGTAAACCCAAACTGTCCCTATCGTTCACGCCCACTACTGAGTAGCAATGAGAAAACCATACCGCCGTAGCACACACACCATACCACTGTGAAGCCATCGGAAACACCTACCGTCCCTTGCGGACACGCCTGCCACTGAGAAGCCATCGGAAGCCCCTACCGTCCCTATCGGACACGCCTACCTCTAAGTAGCTATCGGAAACCCCTAGCGTTCCTAGCAGACACGCCTAATACTGATAAGACAAGAGAAAACCTTACCGCCGCAGCGGACACACCTACCACTGAGAAGCCATCGGAAACCCCAACCGTCCCTAGCGTTCACGCCCACCTCTGAGGAGCCATGAGAATCCCTTACAGCCTTTGCGGAAACACGTACCAATGAGAGGCAATCGGAAACCCTTACCGCCGTAGCGGACACGCCTACCACTGAGAAGCCATTGGAAACCCCTACCGTCCCTATCGGACACGCCTACCTCTAAGTAGCTATCGGAAACCCCTAGCGTTCCTAGCAGACACGCCTAATACTGATAAGACAAGAGAAAACCTTACCGCCGCAGCGGACACACCTACCACTGAGAAGCCATCGGAAACCCCAACCGTCCCTAGCGTTCACGCCCACCTCTGAGGAGCCATGAGAATCCCTTACAGCCTTTGCGGAAACACGTACCAATGAGAGGCAATCGGAAACCCTTACCGCCGTAGCGGACACGCCTACCACTGAGAAGCCATTGGAAACCCCTACCGTCCCTAGCGGACACGCCCATCACTGAGTAGCCATAAGAAACCCCTACCGCCGTAGCAGACATATCCTACAACTGAGAAGCCACCGGAAACCCTTACCGCCGTGACGGACACGCCTACCTCTGAGTAGCCATGAGAAACCCTTACCGTGCCTAGCGGACACGCCTACCACTGAGTAGCCATGAGAAACCCCTAGCATCCCTAGCGGACACGCCCACCACTGAGTAGCCATGAGAAACCCTTACCGTGCCTAGCGGACACGCCTACCACTGAGTAGCCATGAGAAGCCCCTAGCGCCCCTAGCGGACACGCCTTCTATTGAGAAGCCATCGGTAAACCAAACCATCCCTAGCGTTCACGCCAACTACTGAGAAACCCTGTGCGCCGTACCGGAAACACGTACCACTGAGAAGCCATCGGAAACCCTTACCGCCTTAGCGGACACGCCTACCACTGAGAAGCCATCTGAAACCCCTACCGTCCGTAGCGCACACGCCTACCTCTGAGAAGACATCGGAAACCCCTACCGTCCCCAGCGGACACGCCTACCACTGAGTAGCCATGACAGACCCTTACCGCCGAAGCGGACATGCCCACCACTGAGTAGCCATGAGAAACCCATACCGTTGTAGCGGTCACGCTACCACTGAGAAGGCATCAGAAAACTCAAACTGTCCCTATCGTTCACGCCCACAACTGAGTAGCCAAGAGAAACCCTTACCGCCGTAGCAGATACACCTACCATTGAGACGCCATCTGAAACCCCTACCGTCCCTAGCGTATACGCCTACCACTGAGTACCCATGAGAAACCCATACCGCCGTAGCGGACACATCCTACCACTGAGAAGCCACCGGAAAGCCCTACCGTCCCTTGCGGACACACCTACCACTGAGAAGCCATCGGAAACCCCTAGCATCCCTAGTGGACACGGCTAATACTGATCACATTTTAGTTGATGAGAAACCCTTACCGCCGTAGCAGACACATCCTATCACTGAAAAGCCACCGGAAACACCTACCGTCCGTAACGGACACGCCCACGACTGAGTAGCAATGAGAAACCTGTACCGTCCTTAGGGGACATGCATACCACTGAGAAGCCATCGGAAATACTTACCTCCCAAACGAACACGCCTACCACTGAGAAGCCATCGGAAAACCCTACCGTCACCAGCGGACACGCCTACTACTGAGAATCCATGGGAATCCCCTACCGTCCGTACCGGAGACGCCTACCACTGAGAAGCCATCGGATACCCCTATCGTCCCTAGCGGACACGCCTACTACTGAGAAGCCATGGGAAACCCTTACTGCCGTAGCGGACACGCCTACCACTGAGATGCCATCGGAAACCCAAACCGTCATTAGCGTTCACGCCAACTACTGAGTAGCCATGAAAAACCCTTCCGTCCCTAGCGGACACGACTACCAATGAGTAGCCATGAGAAAAAACTACCGTCCCTATCGGACACACCTACCACTGAGAAGCCATCGGAAGCCCCTACCGTCCCTATTGGACACGCCTACCACTAAGTAGCCATCGGAAACCCCTAGCATCCCTAGCGGACACGCCTAATACTGATCACATTTTAGTTGATGAGAAACCCTTACCGTCCCTATCGGACACGCCTACCACTGAGAAGCAATCAGAAACCCCAACCGTCCCTAGCGGACATGCCTACCACTGAGAAGCCATGGGAAACCCCAACCGTCCCTAGCGGACATGCATACCACTGAGAAGCCATCGGACATGCAGGTATTGTCAAGCGGTCATTTCACGAGAGTTAATTCATTTACGTACTGTCATTCGAGGAACTTAATACAAAGGCATAATGTGGCTGAATATGAACAATTACGACAGTTCTAGCCAATGTTAATAGCCTCAGAAATCATGGAAATATACATCAATATACAGGACGGTATACAAACATCGTTGATTTTTTCAACCTTACTCTTACTAGAATCAAGCCTTGTCGATGAGCCTACCTGCCAGATGCCCCCGTCATACCCAGATCTGTATGTCTTGGCATCTGTTCCGTCTTTTGTCTCCACGTAGGCCAGACGTCGCAGGAACAGACGGTCGTCCCCGAGGATGCAGTTGGACCTGATCCTGTCAACGACAGCCTTGACGACAGCGGTGCCGGAAGCACCTGAGGACATGGTCAAGTCCACGCTCCCTCCAGTCCCCAGAGCGCTGGGCAGGAACAGCGCCCAAAGTAGATACATCAGCATTCTTCTTCACTGTTGTTTCTCTGGACCGCTTCTGCAGGTGGAATATATATATACTGTACCTGGGTGTTGAGGAACTATTGCGGTATCAGGTTTAGAGGTAAATTAAATCACATGAGATTCTGCAGAGTACAGATCCATGTGGTCGCTTGGCAGATAGCTACAGACAGGTACGAGAGATGGCTACGCCCACTAACTAGCCTGAAGGGTCACGAAGACTTGTGCAGATACCTACATTAGTTAAAACAATGACCACCTGAGCGCTTAAAACCCCCCGTTACCTAGCATTTGGCCCCCGGACCCTACAATATGCGTCGAGAATGGCTGATCAATTGTACTTGCTGGGGATGCAAAATCAGCCATTTTGGGCGCGTTTGTTGTTTTATGCTGCATTCGGCAATAGTGCAGCTGTATGACGTCGGTCTGTACATAATCGAGTCTGTGGTTGATATTGTGAACATGGTTACGATGACACGATTTGTCGGCATGTCCGGGACGGCATCCAGTAACATCCACAGATAGTAGAACTGGCAACTGGCATATCAAAGCACATCACATTCACATCGACTTTAAATCGACTTCATATCAATACCACTTGTGGGCATTAAGGCACATCCTTGATTACAGACGCATTGTCATAACATATACTATCTACATACATAAGATAACAACGAGATAAATCCAAAAGATCAATAAGGAACGAAGTGTGTGTTTTTTTCACGTTAAAACATTGTTCTATCATTATGTTATTTCTGGAAATTCGAACATGCACTGGCAATATGCTGACGTTGTACATTGAACGACATCCATTTTGAGAGGGACGTGTCTAGTGAGTTGTTACCCATAGATGTAGCTGGGCAACGCAAATAAACGCAGGAGAGATGTGACAATCTGTATTGAGATTAAAGGTAGACATATGAGAGTATGCAGGAATGATCAACGTGCGCATACAATGGACGTGTCCAACATATCCGAGGTCGGATTTTATTGAGGGAGTCATCATTTTGAAAATACGGGTAAATAGTTTTATCATCAGAGGCTGTAAATAATGTTGATATATCATCTAAGGAATGAACGACTCGTGGTCGTCGTTTATCGTACGATAACACACTGCAGGAAGAATAAACCACAGGCTCCCCTCGTGGTTTATTCTGCTTGCAGTGTTTTATTATACGATAAACAACCTTCACTCGTTGTTTTGTTCTTTAATGTACACCAGGAGATCTACACAGTAGCCAGGGGGCAATGAGATGTACGTCTTGCAGGAGGTGAGGTGAAATTGGGTTTAACGTCGCGTCCAAGATTATTGCACTTATATTGCGACGTGCATGCACACGTGTGTGTGTGGCTGCTTGTATTAGTCCGGACTGATGCCGATTTAAAGTGCTAGCACACTTACCATGCCGCAGTTTAACATGAATACCCTACTCAGACACAGTACACTGACTCCGAGCCGACCAGTCCTTGTCTTCCGTGGTTTAATGCCGAGCGCCAGAAAGGATAGCAACAAGTACCATCTTTTAACGTCTTTTGGTATGACGATGCCGGGGATCGAACGTCGGACCTTCCGCTTTCCGGGCGGACGCTATACCACTAGACCACAGAGGCGGTCACGTCCTGCAGGAACCCTCAGGAATCCGTGAGAGAGTGAGTTTGGTTTAATGCCACGGGTGTAACTCTGCACGGCGAAATGTTTGACCTCAGACGACTGAGCCACCCTTTACCCCTCATACAGCGGATTGACGTGCGACATAAATATCACACGGATCATTGCTATGCTTGTCTGCTCGCTCCCGGCATCATGGACAAACATACGTATTGATCGGCCTCTATATCGCACAGACCCGTGTAGATCCGGGATAGAATAGGTCTTCAGGAACCCATGCTTGACGTACAAGGCGTTCTTGTCGTGAGAGGAGACTAACGGGATCAGGTGGTCAGGCTCGCCGACTTGGCTGATGCATGTCATCGTATCCCAATTGCGTGGATCAATGTTCATGACGTGAATCACTGGATTGTCTGGTCCTGACTCGATTCTGTACAGACCGCCGTCATTTAGCTGGAATATAGCGGCGTTAGACAACAAACAAACAAAATTGTATCGTACCTCAGCATGTTTGCGACAAGGACACTGGTGGAACTTACCTTGCGTGACGTGGTCCTGATGCTAGATGAGCTGTGGGACAAAAGACATGGGTATTTAATACCCTGATACCCCATTCAGTTGAAGGTGTGCCCAGGAGGTGGCGCTGTCGAGAACGTGAATTCACACTGTGATGTAACACTTGTGATGTAACACATGTATAGCGTTACACATGGATAGTTATATTCACAGTTTACTGAATGTCACACTCGGAACCTACTGCAGTAATATGAGACAACACATCCGAGTGCAGATCACAGCAACAGGACACCTCTCCTAACACTTTTCAGGTACTTTGGAAATACAACAGGATGCATGCATTTCATCAGCTCTACAATTGTTAAACAAGCAATATCGGTTAGGATGATCATTCTGTCAAGAGTAGAAACGAAAACAACCAGAAAGGAAACAAGTCATATGTAATATTGCAGATTGGTCAACACGATATCCGCACACAGTAACTGAAAACAATCTTAAAGAACCAAAATTCTAATTTGTTTTCCGTTTGTGTGTGGAATTAAAGTTGCCCCCTAAAGTACAAAATAAAAGGGCATGAACGGTGTCATGTTGTACATGTTAGAAACGTCTGATGTATAGAGGTGTGTACAGTCCATCCTGCATTCACTCTCACCTCCCCCACTGTAATCTTTAGTCTCTTCTCGAAGCATCATCGGTATATAACTTCTGACTGCATACCTTGAAATCCCCTAATCTATAATTTCAGCACTGTACATCTCGTGCGGTGGCAATAGATAGGGGAGGAAGTAAGATATTATGCAAGTTCACAGTACATCAATGAGGACGTAAGTGTATAGTAAGGAGATTATTGTTCAGTAAGTGATTAAGGGATACAGCAATGAGGCTATAGATCAGGGAGGAAGTAAGTGGTACAGCAATGAGGCTATAGATCAGGGAGGAAGTAAGGGATACAGCAATGAGGCTATAGATCAGTGAGGAAGTAAGTGGTACAGCAATGAGGCTATAGATCAGTGAGGAAGTAAGGGATACAGCAATGAGGCTATAGATCAGTGAGGAAGAAAGTGGTACAGCAATGAGGCTATAGATCAGGGAGGAAGTAAGGGTACAGCAATGAGGTTATAGATTAGTGAGGAAGTAAGGGGTACAGCAATGAGGCTATAGATTAGTGAGGAAGTAAGGGGTACAGAAATGAGGCTATAGATTAGTGAGGAAGTAAGGGGTACAGCAATGAGGCTATAGATCTGTGAGGAAGTAAGTGGTACGGCAATGAGGCTATAGATCAGGGAGGAAGTAAGGGGTACAGCAATCAGGCTATAGATCAGTGAGGAAGTAAGGGGTACAGCAATGAGGCTATAAATCAGGGAGGAAGTAAGGGGTACAGCAATGAGGCTATAGATCAGGGTGGAAGTAAGGGTACACCAATGAGGCTATAGATCAGCGAGGAAGTAAGGGATACAGCAATGAGGCTATAGATCTGTGAGGAAGTAATGGGTACAGCAATGAGGCTATAGATCAGGGAGGAAGTAAGGGGTACAGCAATGCGGCTGTAAATCAGCGAGGAAGTAAGGGGTACAGAAATGAGGCTATAGATTAGTGAGGAAGTAAGGGGTACAGCAATGAGGCTATAGACCTGTGAGGAAGTAGGGGGTACAGCAATGAGGCTATAGATCAGGGAGGAAGTAAGTAGTACAGCAATGAGGCTATAGATCAGGGAGGAAGTAAGGGGTACGGCAATGAGGCTATAGATCAGGGAGGAAGTAAGGGGTACACCAATGAGGTTATAGATCAGTGAGGAAGTAAGTAGTACAGCAATGAGGCTATAGATCAGGGAGGAAGTAAGGGGTACAGCAATGAGGCTATAGATCAGCGAGGAAGTAAGTAGTACAGCAATGAGGCTATAGATCAGGGAGGAAGTAAGTGGTACAGCAATGAGGCTATAGATCAGCGAGGAAGTAAGGGGTACAGAAATGAGGCTATAGATTAGTTAGGAAGTAAGAGGTACAGCAATGAGGCTATAGATCTGTGAGGAATAAGTGGTACAGCAATGAGGCTATAGATCAGGGAGGAAGTAAGGGGTACAGCAATGAGGCTATAGATTAGTGAGGAAGTAAGGTGTACAGCAATGAGGCTATAGATCAGGGAGGAAGTAAGGGTACACCAATGAGGCTATAGATCAGCGAGGAAGTAAGGGATACAGCAATGAGGCTATAGATCTGTGATCAAATAAGTGGTACAGCAATGAGGCTATAGATCAGGGAGGAAGAAAGGGGTACAGCAATGAGGCTTATAGATCAGTGAGGAAGTAAGGGGTACAGCAATGAGGCTATAGACCTGTGAGGAAGTAAGGGGTACAGAAATGAGGCTATAGATTAGTGAGGAAGTAAGGGGTACAGCAATGAGGCTATAGACCTGTGAGGAAGTAAGGGGTACAGCAATGAGGCTATAGATCAGGGAGGAAGTAAGGGGTACATCAATGAAGCTATAGATCTGTGGGGAAGTAAGGTGTACAGCAATGAGGCTATAGATCAGGGAGGAAGTAAGGGGTACAGAAATGAGGTTATAGATCAGTGAGGAAGTAAGGGGTACAGAAATGAGGCTATAGATTAGTTAGGAAGTAAGAGGTACAGCAATGAGCCCATAGATCTGTGAGGAATAAGTGGTACAGCAATGAGGCTATAGATCAGGGAGGAAGTAAGGGGTACAGCAATGAGGCTATAGATTAGTGAGGAAGTAAGGTGTACAGCAATGAGGCTATAGATCAGGGAGGAAGTAAGGGTACACCAATGAGGCTATAGATCAGCGAGGAAGTAAGGGATACAGCAATGAGGCTATAGATCAGCGAGGAAGTAAGTAGTACAGCAATGAGGCTATAGATCAGGGAGGAAGTAAGTGGTACAGCAATGAGGCTATAGATCAGCGAGGAAGTAAGGGGTACAGAAATGAGGCTATAGATTAGTTAGGAAGTAAGGTGTACAGCAATGAGGCTATAGATCTGTGAGGAATAAGTGGTACAGCAATTAGGCTATAGATCAGTGAGGAAGTAAGGGGTACAGCAATGAGGCTATAGATTAGTGAGGAAGTAAGGTGTACAGCAATGAGGCTATAGATCAGGGAGGAAGTAAGGGTACACCAATGAGGCTATAGATCAGCGAGGAAGTAAGGGATACAGCAATGAGGCTATAGATCTGTGATCAAATAAGTGGTACAGCAATGAGGCTATAGATCAGGGAGGAAGAAAGGGGTACAGCAATGAGGCTTATAGATCAGTGAGGAAGTAAGGGGTACAGCAATGAGGCTATAGACCTGTGAGGAAGTAAGGGGTACAGAAATGAGGCTATAGATTAGTGAGGAAGTAAGGGGTACAGCAATGAGGCTATAGACCTGTGAGGAAGTGAGGGGTACAGCAATGAGGCTATAGATCAGGGAGGAAGTAAGGGGTACATCAATGAAGCTATAGATCTGTGGGGAAGTAAGGTGTACAGCAATGAGGCTATAGATCAGGGAGGAAGTAAGGGGTACAGAAATGAGGTTATAGATCAGTGAGGAAGTAAGGGGTACACCAATGAGGCTATAGATCAGCGAGGAAGTAAGGGGTACAGCAATGAGGCTATAGATTTGTGAGGAAGTAAGTGGTACAGCAATGAGGCTATAGATCGGGGAGGAAGTAAGGGGTACAGCAATGAGGCTATAGATCAGCGAGGAAGTAAGGGGTACAGAAATGAGGCTATAGATTAGTGAGGAAGTAAGGGGTACAGCAATGAGGCTATAGATCTGTGAGGAAATAAGTGGTACAGCAATGAGGCTATAGATCAGGGAGGAAGTAAGGGGTAGAGCAATGAGGCTATAGATCAACGAGGAAGTAAGGGGTACAGAATGAGGCTATAGATTAGTTAGGAAGTAAGGGGTACAGCAATGAGGCTATAGATCAGTGAGGAAGTAAGGGGTATAGCAATGAGGCTATAGATCAGTGAGGAAGTAAGGTGTACAGCAATGAGGCTATAGATCTGTGAGGAAGTAAGGGTACACAAATGAGGCTATAGATCAGGGAGGAAGTAAGGGGTACAGCAATCAGGCTATAGATCAGTGAGGAAGTAAGGGGTACAGCAAGGAGGCTATAGATCAGGGAGGAAGTAAGTGGTACGGCAATGAGGTTATAGATCAGTGAGGAAGTAAGTGGTATAGCAATGAGGCTATAGATCAGTGAGGAAGTAAGTGGTACAGCAATGAGGCTATAGATCAGGGAGGAAGTAAGGGGTACAGCAATGAGGCTATAGATCAGCGAGGAAGTAAGGGGTACAGAAATGAGGCTATAGATTAGTGAGGAAGTAAGGGGTACAGCAATGAGGCTATAGATCAGTGAGGAAGTAAGTGGTACAGCAATGAGGCTATAGATCAGGGAGGAAGTAGGGGATACAGCAATGAGGCTATAAATCAGCGAGGAAAAAAGTGGTACAGCAATGAGGCTATAGATCAGTGAGGAAGTAAGTGGTACAGCAATGAGGCTATAGATCAGGGAGGAAGTAGGGGATACGGCAATGAGGCTATAGATTAGATCAGTGAGGAAGTAAGAGGTACAGCAATAAGGCTATAGATCAGTGAGGAAGTAAGTGGTACAGCAATGAGGCTATAGATCAGCGAGGAAGTAAGTGTTACTGCAATGCGGCTATAGATCAGGGAGGAAGTAGGGGATACAGCAACGAGGCTGTAGATCAGCAAGGAATTAAATGGTACAGCAATGAGGCCATAGATCAGCAAGGAATTAAATGGTACAGCAGGAAGGCTATATATCAGTGAGAAAGTAAGGAAAACAGCAATGAGGCCATAGATCAGTGAGGAATTAAATGGTACAGCAGGAAGGCTATAGATCAGTTAGGAAGTAAGGGGTACAGCAAGGAGACTATAGATCAGGGAGGAATTAAATGGTACAGCAGGATTATGGTTACAGTCTGCGGGTGATTCAGTGATTTGAAATGCGAAGTGATCAGCTGCCCAGACTTGTCACGTGAGCAGGTGTTTCTCACACATGCGCCGTCACGGCCACGCCTATCACACGACGAGGCACGCTCAGGTGTCTGAAACGCTTAAGTGCATAGCTTCTGTTGAGAAAAAAAGTACGTGTATCACTTGCAGGCAACCGTATCAACTGACACAGCT